TTTTACTTGCACTAATTTAAATTTAGATATGGTTATGAAAAAGGTTGTAAAAATTAAAAGATAAAAAGTAAAAATAAAACTGAAAACTGAATTGGAATGTTTCGGTCCATTAAGTCGCATGCATACCTCCGCTAAGCTCAAGAATTTTTCTGTTTCTCGTAAGCAAGGCGTTTCTAAAGCTGCAGCTTGAAATTGTCTGGTCTGAAATTATCGTACCAGCTCGCATGTGAGCTCATTTTAATGAAAAATCTGGTTAAATCTGATTAATGGCATGTGGTCACTCAGGTAACTCTGCCCGCATTGTGCTTGGTGTTGAGTAAGTGCGAAATTCCGGTTCTGTAACTCACAGACTTTGAAATTAAAAAATTCTTTTGAACTTGGACATGAGGTCAAAGAACCGGAAAAAATAGGTTTTGAAATGTGTTTTCCTACCATTAATATCGAATTGTTTAATTGTTTTCGTGAAATTCATAAAGTTAAAGTTTCCGGAACTTCGCTCGCTCTTTCCTAGTACTTTCAAATCAGCCTAAATTTAAGTTTATGTTTCCAGACCAGGATGTACTGCATTGCACGTAGCAAAATAAGTTATCAGAGTTTTAAATAAATAGCTTTATGTGTTTTTGGATTATTAAAATTTACCCCGAATTTGGGCCCAAAGTTGTACTTTATTAATAAGAAATGTGAGATAATTTTAGATCTTACCTCATACAATCTGATGTTTTTTTTTTTTGCAAAATAACAGCTTTCTAGCTTCCATAGTTTGGAAATTGGGATGTATTGATGTGATAGACAAACACGTATATATATAGAGAAACATGATTTCGTTCGAGTACTTTTTCCATCAGTGTTTGCTAGCCCTAAATATCTTTGTTCAGATGATGTGCTGGGAGTTTTCGATATTAAACAGGACGATGCACGTACGGAGATCTCGAGTAGGCTGCTTGATCCTTTGCTTAAAGTAAGTTACGCTTATTTTGCATATCAATCATACTCGAGTTTTTTTTTTTTTTTTTTTTAAATTTACGCTTTCCTGTAAGCATAGATATTTCAAGACCCTGCGAATTGGTCACTCTTTTCCGCTGTATTCACAATATGTATGCATTTGCAGTACGAAAAAATGCTTGATACCAAAACAATGAAAGCCGTGCTGGAAAGCGACGACGCCTATTTCGGCGTGGTTATCAAGGAACTACACCAAGACATGCTGCAGTTGGCTACAGCCGAGATGGCCGTAAGTCATTTTTTGCTCAATAAATATTTCTGTTCGTTTTTGATAGAAATGATTTATGCAAAAAAAAAAAAAAATTATATACATCCATTCCTGTAAGTGAGTGAGTGAATGTCTCTTCGGATGACTCAGCCCAGGAAAACAAAAAAAGCCAAAAAACAAAAATTTTGAGAACATATGCACATTCCATGACAATATGCAACGCCACAAATCTGGAAGAAAATTTCTGATCTAGGTTACTGGCAAGGTGTGTATTTGAGTTACCTCGAAAGTAGGGCAAGCTGTTATCCGAAGTTTTTATGCGTTTTGTGCTGTGTAACAGCAGTACAAAATGCATATTGTCGCGAAGTTGTCTGTGTGTGTGTGTGTGTGTGTGTGTGTGTGTGTGTGTGTGTGTGTGTGTGTGCGTCCCACATTTTGTCCCACGTTTTCAACTTGGGAACCACAAAAGCTAGGCGGCTGAAATTTCAGTATAGTGTTCCCCGCCAACGAGTGACGCGACAAACTTAAATTCAGCCTTTCCGTACCGGCGGGTAACACGTACGGCCGCGTAAAAGTTTTTCGGGTAAAATCAGTATGTCGGGAACCACAGAAGGTAGAAGGCTGAAATTTTGTGAGCATGTCCCCCACCCATGTGCTACCCAGAAAATTTAAATTCAGCTTCCCCTGCCTGCGGGTAGCGAGTACGGCCTCGTGTAAATTATTATCTCGAGAACCACGAAGTCTATGAAGCTGGAATTTTAGGCCTCCTGTCCACTCTCAACCTTTCCTATTTAAATTCAGCGTTCCCGCGTTCTCGAACATCACCTACGAGCTAGTGAAAGTTTTTGCGGGTAAACTGTTAATTCCGAAATCGCGGAAAGATATTCACCCTTCAAGGTTTTGAATTTAGCTTTCATACGCAGGTGCGTGAAATTTCTATTTTTCATTGTTTCAACTATTTTTCATAGATTAAAGTACAAAGCAGTGGAAATCATTAATAGGCAATCGTTCAGTGGGCTGAATTACACAAAACGCATGATCGCACTGGCTAGTCTGGTGCGCGTTGCTACTTATTTTACTGCTTTTTGTGAACTAGGCTCGTGTAGCTTACTGTAATGAACCTCATCGATTATACAGGCGTGTTCAGTGATAGAATTATGCAAAAACTTATTACGAAAAAAAGA